CAACAGAGTTCTGGGGATACATCGGTGATCGGCTCCAAGTATTCATAAGCAGAAGCCTTCTGCACAGTTATGGAGACGACAGACAGGTCAAACAGCTTTCTCACAGCGAAAAAAAAAGGAGTGAGAGGGGAACGGGGTGAGACCGCAGAGCAAGAAGCATCGAAGTGCACTGAATTTTCGGAAAAAACGAAAAATGAGCGCACTCGCAACACCACCTCCTTTTTTTCTTGAGTCGCCACGCTGATGCTACTGAAGTGCCCAAGGAAACTGCCGAGGTTTACGGGGACGAAGACACTACAGCTCTGCGAAAAGCCACACCTTCACCCTCAGAAGGCCACGATCTGCATGTGGCTGGATCGGGAAGGCAATAGTCCACGAAGAATTGCTCCAACGAAAGAGATACAGTCAGCAGAAGCCTCGGTATCGCCCGACTGCATCATCGCCTGAGCAGGGCCACTGCAAAAAATAAATAGCAACGCGCACCAGACCAGCCATTCAGCCCATCGAACGATTACCTCTTAATAATTTCCATTGCTTTGTGCTTTAGTCTGTGCAAAAATAGTTCAACAACTGGAAAATAGTTAAAAATTTCACGCACCAGCGTATGAAAGCTGAATTCGAAACCCTGAAGGATGAATATCTTTCCGTGATTCCATTAAAAGTTTACCCGCCAAATTTTCACTGTGCCGTAGGTGATACCCGAGAGCGCGGGAATGCTGAATTTGAATGGGCAAGGTTGGGCGTAGGCAGAGATCATTACCTTAAAATTTCAGCGTCCTAGACTCCGTGGTTCCCGAGATATTAATTTACCTGTAAAAAACTTTCACAGGGGTACGGGTTATCCGCGGGTACGGGAAGGCTGAATTTAAATTTGCCGCGTCACCCGCTGGCGGGAAACACTACACCAAAATTTCAGCCGCCTAGCTTTTGTGGTTCCGGAGTTGAAAGTGCGGGACAATATGTGGGACACCCACACAAACACACAAAAATACACACACACGCACAGACAACCCCGTGACAATATGCGTTTTGTAATGCTATTACACAGCACGAAACGCATAATAACAACCAAACTGTTAAGGCCAAGTTAGTGTGATGCCCTAAAAAGACGTATATTTGTCGAGAGGGACCGGTGGAGGAGCCGGGGTGGGAAGCTTTGCGCACTGATCGTGTGATTCTGAACCACCACTGATAAAAACATCAAATGCGCACTGCTACAGTGTCAATTAAGGCCCCGAGCACTGGCCTACTGACTGGGACCACAGCCCGGCCGTCGATACAGAGCGTGTGCAAGAAGCAACAGCAGGGAACTGTAACCATCAGCTGACATCATCACAAAAGTACACTTCAGCTATCGTTTCACAAAGACGAGATAATCAATCACTGATGCCAACACGTAACTGAACAGCGAAAAGCACCGGGCTAAGCTGAACAACGAAGTGTAGTGCGCCCGCAACTTACTCCCACAGACACGCTTCACAGAATCACCAACCTCCCCTCAATAACCCGCGACACCTCACACACACACTCACACACACACACGCACACACGCACACACACCACTTCAGCAAGCTCAGTTTCGCGCCTACCCAGATGCACCCGCAAGGTTATTTCGGAAATTGTTGGCATACTGCAAAACACACACAGCACCCACCCGCAATGCATTCCCTTTCAAAACAAGGCGGGGACTCCCTCCCCACAGATGGTAAACCCACTTTCAAGAGCGGGGGTCAGGAAGGGGACAAATGTAACAAGCTCCTCAACAGCAGTTACTAGGATCCGACCCGTCCCCGCTCGGAGAGTCAGGGGGCGAGCTGCAATGACGGGGATTGGGGGGTAGAGGCTGAAAGCGAAGGGGTGAAAGCCAGGGGTGTGATTTAGGACGCGGGGGTTGTGAGGGAAGGAGCGGGAAGGCTAATGACTGGAAAGGAGCCGAATCCCTGCTTGGGGTAGGGATCGGAAGCAGAGGAGGGGGAGGTGTCTGCGAGTTTCTCATGTTTAGCCCGAACAACCCAATGTTTGATGTTGCTAAGCGGGAAACAAGAGGCTAAATGAGAGTTGGTGAGCGTGCGCCTCCACTCCAAAATTCCACCGAAACAAAAGTCCCGCTACCCATGCACAACCGTGTCTCCCACAACCCCCACGCAAACCCTCAAACGAGTGCCAGAAGTGGTCAATTAATTGAACTCGGCTCGGCCAAATTAAGGAATACCCTCGCTCCTCTGCTAATGAGACAGCGCAACTGTCGGGACGCCAAGTGACGTTGCTGCTCGAACCATTTAGACCACATTTCCGGAATGCCCGGTGACGTTCCCCGGGCTCTAAGTAACGTAGTTTGGGGAACTATCAGTGGAAGGGGGGGGGGGGGG